CTGCACAATATGCACATCCCCAGATGTGTACAGTGATGGTCTGTTTTGCCAGAACCACAGAACGGCTGAGGAAATGAATTCACCACCCATCTGGTGAAGGATCTGCATGCCACTTGTTTTCCAGGCAGGCCTACAGGCTTTGCACTGGCCCTTTCCATGCTGAGTATCACCTCAGCCTGAGGCTTTGCTCATAATTGGAATGAGCCCTGAGGGTGTAGCTGCTCCACCACAGGCTCCTACAGTTGTCAGGGAATGGTCAGTTTTATCAAGGTGTTGTGCTGAAGGAGGTACACCAGTGGCTGGTTTGTACTAACTCAATGCTTTAATATGGTCTTCGGTTTTATTAGCTATTGGGCTTCATTCTGCACGTTTAGTGCCAGTGGCTACCAGTCCAATGATAATTCAAATATGAAAACACTTTCCAGAGACAGCTGTTTATGATTTTTAGTCTACACTTATCTCATATTTCACTATTAATCCAGAAACTTAAACATGCTGTGGTTTGAGGTTTTTGCCTTACAAAAAAATAAAGGGATTAAATAAAACTTACTTGAGGGATTTGGGGATCAATGGCTCTTAGGCAAACTGTATTTACTGTTATTACTGAAAAGGCTGGGGGAAAAGAGGATGATATTCAAACCTTTCCATGTTATGCTGACTCCCAGGTTCTGGAAAACATACATGTCACTCAGGGCAGATCACAGCCTACAGTATCCTAACCCAAACTGGTTTAAACAAGGTAGTGGCACACTGGAAAGGGTGTCTTTACCTTATACCACCTGAGCTATGCTGAGCTGCCAGTCAGGAACTGGACTAGAAATGACTGTAAATAACAACAAAAATGAAAGGATGTGGATTTTTCCCACTAAATGTACCAAAAGAAATACAGCCTAGAATTATTTTTCTACTGACAGATTCATGGCACAATTTGAAGATCTAGAGAGTGCCTGGGAGCTGTCAGAGCAGGAGAAACAGGGGAAGGAACTGGAAGCTGAGGATGACAGCAAGCAGCTCAGAGCAGCATCCTCATGGGCATGGGACAGCCCCGCAATACCTGTGCAAGATGAGCAGAGAGGGGTCGGTGATCCTGAGTACAGCGAGGAGTCCTGTGATTCCCAGAGATGTCTGCAGTGAGGAGGCAGCTGTGAGCCAAAGACCTCAGGATCTGGAGCGACAGCCACATGGCCAGGCACATGCAGAGCTGTAGGACCAAGAATGAGAGTCTGGGCTCAGATGAAACCCCTGGGCAAAGTGGGAGGCTCCCAGCAAGGCACTCACAATGGCTCTTTCCTTGGTGTCTGGTTCAGTGTCACTCACTCAGACCACGTCAGAGCTGGCCTGGAGCATCAGTGCTGAGGGGGGAAGCCAGAGGGTTAAAAGAAGAACACAACAAAAGCTTTGATCACAAGTCTCACCCTGACACCCACCATTCGCTCCATTGCAATACACAGTAACAAGAAGAGACAAAACTCTTTTGCAAAAGGCTGCATCATTTGATAACTTCAAATAAAAACCATTTCCCATCTAAGCCAAATGAGCAAGGGTAGCAGCACCGCTCAGAAACAAACCTTAACACTAATGTAGTTTTATGCCATCTCCTTTTCCACATTTCATATCTGTTTTTTCACAGTTGTGTGTGCCTGGAATGAAACAGAGCTGTCTTTCAGTTCCTTAATCTTCACAAAAGCTTAGACTCTGTTTTATGCAGACAGGCGTCGGTGCGGTAACTGGGGCAGAGAGCCACAGACCTTTACGCCTTGCCGGCAGCATTATTTTCCATCTGTGCCATCATCAGACTCACGTCTCACCGCGGGCTGGCCGGGATGCGGGAGGCTGGATTTCGCAGTTAATTCGTTTAAAGGCACTTGTCCCAAACCCTGGAAGCCGCCGCCGGGTGTCGCTGCCGGACTCTTTTTCCCTGCCCTCTCTGGGTCGAGGGACTCCTACCGCAATCACCCCATCCCTCTGACGGACCTGAGCAGCCGGGAAGCCCGTACTCTGCGTGGCAGCCGCCTTTCACATCAGAATAGACACTGGTGTGCTTTGACAGATGATGTATGGGGACACCGCTGACCCACCTGGAGCTGGTCCCTGCCACGCTCAGGTTGTGCAGGCACCTGAGGGACCCCAGCATTGCCCAAAGCTCCGTTTTGGGTAGCCACACTCTTTTCCGACGTTTGGCTGATGGCTGCCTGGTTTGATAGGTGTGTGATTTTTATCTGTCCTACCATTCTTTGGAGGAAAGAGCCAGAAAGAGCCAGATTTCAGCCAGGAAAAACTCCTTTATGTAGAACAACCTGGTCACGCTGTCCTCTGCTGTTTCGAACTTGCAAGGCAAGAGCTAAATGCTGAAATTGCTTTACACCTTTTTAACTAAGAACAGAAAAATGCTTAAGTCTGGTAGGAGAAAACCAAACCTCAAGCCTTTCCATCCCTCAAACCAGGTTTTTTCTTCTTTGATTTATTTTTCCCTCCTGGAAACAGCTAGTTTCTCTCAGCAGATATTACAAGCTGTTCCCAGTTTTGGAGAGGAATCTTCTTATACTTTTGGCTCAGTACATATCGTAAAAACCAATCCTCACAGGCATTCTGAAAGTCAGTGGAAACAATGGTTTTATTTTTAAGTGTCCTTTTACAGACTGTGCAAATCAAAGGTTGGGATATCAAGGATTTTAGGCTGGAAAGTGAATAGAAGTAAAACCGAAACTAGCTTATGACTGGCCTAAATTTGCCCAAGGTGGGAAATGAAAAGAAATAACCCTTAAAGCAGCTTATCCCCTTTCCAGAACTGCATGAGTCAACGTCAAGTGTTTGACTGAGTTAGCTAAAGGTAAATGAGAGTTAAAAAGAGCTGGAGGATTTAGATAAGATAGATGGCAACAGAAAAAGAAGAGAATACAAAGGTTTTCCAGGAAATTAAAATCCGTAATACAAAATCCATAATACAAGCAAGATAGAAAACCTAGTTTGGGTCTTAATGTAAAGGGTCTGAGAATCGAAAGAGAAACCAAATGTGAACCTCCTGTAAAGCAGGGAATTATACTGCCATTATTCAGAATATTTGCTCTTCTATCTACTTTCAGGAAAGGCCATTAAAATAAATCTTCCTTGGCAGACAAAGTGGCAGGAGGAAAATGGAAAAGTACAATGAAGCAAAAATAATTAAAGCACATAAAGTATATTGTATTGTATCATATCTATAAGAGTTTCCTTTTACTTCCCTCTTGTCTTCTCTGGGACCGTTCCCAGTTCTGTTTGTTTGAAAGAGCTAACGCCAAAATGAAAAAGAGTCCTGGCCAGAGTGAGCCTTCTCTTACATCTGCCCAGGCTAGATGTAACATGCTTGGAAATGTCCCTGTTCCTAATACTGCTTCATAAGGGACAAAATCAGGTCCCTCCATCCAGAGACTTTAAGAACCTGGAGCTCCAGCCAAAGCAGGAAACTGGCTATGGCTTTTCCTGTGTGCAGCCAGGGCTCACAATTTGCAAATACAGACTGCCACACTCTTTCTGAAATACCACCAGGGATTTGAAAAAATCTATGTATTTTGGTTTCTCAGCAGTTTACATTGATGAGCAGAATGGCTACTCTCCAGTGCAGAGGGATATTCTGAGGTGGGAAATGGCAAAAACTGATGGAATTAATGGAGCGGGTAAGTAGCTGTATGTCAGAGGAGGTCATTGCTCCATAGGTAGTGATGCTGTTTGTACATCCAGCTCTGATTATAAGGCCAGCACAAGTGCTGAGTGGAAAATGGCCAATATTTGCCTGTTTTGTCATGATATAACAGAGAAAGACAATGCAATAATTTGGAACAGAATAGAAAAAATGGAGCACAGTTGACATTAGCTTGTTTTTTCTCAGTCCTCTCACTTTCTGACAGGTGCTATAAAATATAATATCACAGTTTTAAAAGGGTGGTTGTTTAGGTCTTTTTCCATGCTTCCAGCAGGCTACCCTACCCTTTTCTGGGCCTCCAATGCCACTTCCTTCCCCCCTGCCCCCTGTCTATATTGGAGAAAGCATATTCTGCATTGGGGTACAGCATACATTTGAAAAGAAAATGAAGTTTTTGCAGTCCAGGGAGTGACAGATCGTTAATAATCCACAATACACAGGCTTTCCATCTGCTATTATTGCTCTCAGGTCAGTTTGCCCTAGGAAAGCAGGAAGGAAATAGAAAGCTTCAGTGAACACAAACAAAAAAGCCTCTATAAGCCTGCAACGTATACATGAACTCCAAGCTGCTATCCCCTGGAAATGCTAAAGTTGGCTCTGCTTATATTTCTGGTTTTACTAGTAAATTCCTCACTTCACAGGAAAGGCACCAGACAGACCTTTTCCATACAACAGCCTCAGACGAAGGCACAGACCCAAGTGTTGGGGGGGGGGGGGGGATCTCCTCCCAGTCAGAAACCCCTCTGTACCTCCAAAAACTATTTCTCTGATGCAGATACATGCAAGCATTCTGCCTCTTCAGCTGTTTCATGTGCATCAGTCCACTCCTAGCTTGCAATTTTGTGTGCAAGCTTATTTTGAACATGGAAGATCTCTGGCACTGTGAAAATCCCTCTTAAAATGAATGCGTGCTTAGGGTTAGTTATACAGGTAACGAAATCATAAGGTTGGGCTATGAGTTACAAAAGCAATTCCAAGACACTGCTGCAAGTATTCTACCAATCTCATCTAATTAATGCTTAACATGATTGGGAAAAAAAGATGTAATGATGTATGATAAAAATGCAGACTAGTTTATGGTTGCTGATTGAAGAAGAGGTGTAACTGTTTTCAAAACACTTAAAAAACCCCCCTCATGTATCAAAACAATGATTTGATTCAACCTGTACCATGGAATAAAAAGAAAAAGAGACAGACGAATTTGACATTTGGCAAGAAGCCCTAAAGAGCTATAGACTTTTATCCCCTTGCTAGTGTGCTGCTGAGAAGTCACGTGCAGGAGGGGCCGGCCCTCCCCTTTCTGCTTTTTATAAGACATGTTTGAACGTTGTTCTCATAAGGAAGTACACGGGGCACTTTTTTATTGGAAGTGCAGTGCCCTTCTTAGTGTAAGCTTAGGAACACATGTTTTGATGAAAGACCGAAAATATTAAATAAAAGAAGGGAACGTGAGTTTTCTGAAGGGAAGTGCTGTGCTTGCAAGGCTGGCTCTAGCAAGACAAAGTCTAGCCTCTGGAAGAGGAGGAGAAAGAATTGAGATCATCAGGCACAAAGGGTTGCTGGTGCAATAGACCTGTAAGGTAATAAACCCCCTTTCTTCTTTGAACTTGGTTTCTCTTGTATAATGTTTGGTTGTCTATAACGCAGTACAAGACTCAGAATCTTCATTTTATATGGATTAAATGGCTATATCTATCACTTTTAGAGCTGCCATACAAGCTCTGCTGCTGTTTGCTGGATGGTTTTGAAAGAAGAGTTTGACATATCTAGCCAAGGAGAGCAAAGGCTTTTTCTGCTAACCAGACTGCAGTTAGTTGTGGAAGGTTGAATTTAAAATGTGGTACCACCCCAATGTATTCATGTAGACTTAAATCCTCACCTCCTTGTTCTTACATTGTGTTGGCCCAGTTCTAGCTAGGTCACCTCTTGCTGGTAAGATGCCTTCATTTGCAACTGAAGGAAACTCTAATCCAAGCAAGTAAATGGTGGAGATGATTCAGCAGGTAATATACACCCCTGAACTCATCAGCAAGCAGATGTGTTGTTCCCTTTTTGCTCCCAGATCTTTGCTGCACTGTGACTGCCAATGTAGTCTACTGGAGGTCATAACTACATGCCTCACCATTCCTGCTGGTGCTGAAAGCCAAGTAGCTCGTCACTTGTCTTCTAGAGGCTGAGTCTTTGGCAGCCTTTCAGCTTTGAATACAGGAAATACTTCTGGACAGACGCAGCCTAGCAACTTCTGAAATACATGTATAAGTGTAGACCTTCTCGTATAGCATGTGTTGTATCTGTTGCACAACAGGGCTCACGAAAAATCTGTTGCCACCAGGAATGTTTTCCTTGGCCTCATAGTGCAGCTCTGCCTTCACTAATTATGTTGTCTCCTGCTTTGTTAAGATTAAATAAGGAGCACATAATCTTTCAGTTTGCAAGTTGCTGTTGTCCATCCTAGAAGCAACTGTGGCACCATGTGGAAAGGTCCTTTCTGGTGAGCTTGTGTGTAAAACCAGCTTTCCACAGCATCTGTACAGTTTTAAACTGTTCAGCCTGTCTCGCACAGACAATACCACTTTGAGATGGTTTTTGTGACAACAATTGACTCACTATGTACGGGATATTTCTTCAGCACAGTGTGTTGCCTACATACTAACAAACTCTGGAGACTTGTGGTTGTTCTGCTTTTCTCCCCAAGGACTACCAGTAAGTTAGGGTCATGAAACCCAGAGGGAAGTATCTAGCTTGAAGAGCTGTGAGAGGAATTGGCCTTTGCTTCACTTTGCATAGGAATCTCCACTTACATATACCCCAATCTACTCCTCTGTATGTGAGAGCAGAGCTGAAGGGAAAGACCCACACCTGGGATGAGTCAGTAAGGTAAACAGTGGTGCTTTTATTAGTGCCTTTCTCCAGAGTGCCTCAAAAATAGAGAGTTTTCTTTAGAACTTGTGTCCTAGGTAAGAAACCACATTTCTGTCTCTGCTGGTTGAGAGGGAAGTACCAGACCTGACCTGAATAGCTTGGACTAACAAATCAAGGACTATTAGTTAGGATGAGAAGAAATGGCCTCAAGTTTCGCCAAGGGACGTTTAGATTGGATATTAGCAAACATTTCTTCACCTAAAGGGTTATCAAGCACTGGAACAGGCTGCCTAGAGAAGTGGCTGAGCCACCATCCCTGCCAGTAATTAAAAGACATATAGATGTGGTGCTTAGGGACATGGCTTTGTGGGAGACTTGGCAGCACTGGGTTAATGATTGAACTCAATGATCTTGAAGATCTATTCCAACTTAAATCATTCTATGATTTTATGATGATTCTATGATCATTTCCCAGGCACCTCTTTCACTTCTCTTTTCTGCCTCTTCTATTCAGCCTGACATTCCCTCTGCTTGGACAAGGTCCCTGAGCCTTTTGAAAGTAAATAGCCATGAGGCAGGACATGTGGAAGAAATAGTAGTAGAGCTTGTCTGTGCTCTGTGGTCACTTGAGGAGGAAGGACGGAAGGCATGCCAGCAGGGTTAGAAGGAGAGGATGGGCTGAGTGCAGCACCCAAGCTTGGGCTCAGACAGAGTCTGTGGTGAGCATGATCCAAGAGGACTTGTAGGGCTAGCCACAATGGTGGCTTGCATCTATACATTAATAAATAACACCAATACAACAACTGTCAAGAAATGGCACAGCCAGGTTACCACTTGGTCCGGTTTTGCCAAACACAGGCCTATAGCTGGACACCATCCAAATCAACAGTTATTTCACCTGTACTTGAACCTCCAGGCTATGCCTCACAGTAACAAAGATTAAACAGTCATGCTCCTAGTTTAGCTCTTTTTTATGGTTTTCTTTCTGTATCCTGCCCACTCAGCCTCATATAAATACACTCCTAAAGTTTTAGTTGGCTATCATTACAATTGGCCCAGGGTGCTGTTACAGTGGAGGGGTGTTTTTGTGGACTTAATTTAGTCAGTATTGGCTCTCAGAGTCTCCACAAGAAGGCAGGTTTTGTTGGTCATGCTGCTCACAGAAGTCCATCTATGTTTTTTGCCAGATTTCTCTGCTCTGGCAGATAATTCTTGAAGTGAATGGAGGGCTGCAGCTAAATGTACCACCATGAACAGTGGCAGTTCAGTTTCCATTTTCTGGGAAATGGTATATGAATGTGACATTTGACAATGGGAGGAAAAGGTCTGGAGGAGAGTAAAGAGGAAGGGTGTAACATTGGTCCCTCAGAGCCTGCAAGCTCCAGAAGATAAATAATTTAGACCAGTGTTTCTAAGTAGACAGAAAGAGATCGTGCTGTTATTCTCTATAATCTGATCCTCCAAGTTTCTTTTAATCATCCTAGAAATAGTATGCAGATTTGGGTTTTAGCAGGACTTCCAAGTACTGTCAAACTGAATCAATGCTTGCATTGAAAATCCTTCATTATAGAGACTCATTCCCGAGAGTTTGTGCAGAGCAAGAGCTGCTTCTGCAAAAGTCCCAACTCATCTCTGGCCCATACCAGACAGGATAATGGAAAAATCATATGGTTATAGTATGAAGAAGTAAGTCTAAAGAGAGTCATAAGTCACCAACTAAGATTTCAAACTTTAAAATGAGCTGAAAAACAAGTTAGCTACTGGAAGTTTCCTTTATAAATGCTCACCAGCATGTGGTGATACCTCCTTTTCTTGCTGTCTGTAAGTAATGGTATAAATGAGCTATAAACTGTGACCCTTTGTTCTCTTTTTATGCTCCTCCAGCCTTGTTGTATACACAGGGGTGAGATTCCTTACCGAGACTTCAGTGCTCGAGAAAGTCTGGGTAAGGAAGCTCCTGTTCCACATTTTTACCAACATAATTTGTTTCATTTCTCAGAGGTTCCCCACCAGAGCGAGGTGCAGGCTTTGCTGTACAGCTGCATCTGAAGTGCAAGTGCTTATTTGATGTTACATACTAGCAAGCTCTAATAATACCCTACCTCCTGCTATCGGTCTGCACTTAGCCTCGTTTAGGAGACCAACCTTTGAACCCTTATTTGATTTCTATCTGTACAGCCACCTTGGGTAGGACTGTTTGCAACACGTAAGTAATAGCCCAGTGTACAGGTTGTGAGTTTTTAACGCTACTACTGTAAGACCGCTCACTGGAATAAATGTTTATATTATTTCATATAATTGCTTTATATTTTTTATATATAGTTATGGTAGATATAGCTTATCTATCATATATTGCTATATGTTCTTAAATTAGTGAAAAATTAGTATACAAGAACATTACCCAAATTATTTCAGATCCATAAAGGGGACCCATGGTGGGGAAGACTATGCTGTTTTAAGTAGCATTGGTGTCTGATGCGAAGGGCAAGCTTAGATCTTTTCAATGAGGAACTTGAGTTTGAATAAAGTATTAAATAATGAAAAAGAATGGCACAGCCTTTAAAATTTTCCCTGTATTTCTGGACAAACTTCAAACTGAAATAAATGCCTGGTCTGGTTTCCAGGGCTAAGGGAAGTGCCTGTTCCAGGGCTCATTGACTAGCTGAAGGGATTTGCTGTAGCCTTGCTTTCTGTGGAGACACTGAGAAATGCAGTTCATCTTTAAATGCCCTTTAAGCTGCTCTGGTTTACACTGGAAGATGGCCTCAAACAATCATGAGGCAAGGAAAAGGTCTTATCTTTGCTCTCCTGCATCCTGAGGGTAACATGCACATCAGCACTCCCTTCCTAGGCACAGCAAGGAAGAAGAAGCACCCCGGTGCCTGTCTTGCATCATTTTGGTTCTCCTTTGTTTTTTTTGGGTTTTTTTTTTTTTGCATTTTAAGCTCCCACTTCTTTTTCTTGGTTTGTTTCTTGTAACAGACTCTTGCTCACTTTTTCCTGCTGGGCTTTCAGTTTCCCTTGCAGGTTCATTAGAGCTGCCTGCATGAACGCTGTGAGAAGACACAAAGCTCCCGCTGACCCTTTGAATATCTCAAGGCAGCAACTAGCAAGAGAAGGGAAACTTGTACCTGCACCTTCAGCCTTCAAATTGCTCTGCCATGTCCAGCAAACAGGGATGCACCTTTTGAGCAAGAGGTCTCAGTGCAGTACTGGGCCCTTCACAGGACATGGCTTCTGCTGAAGCCCAAGAAGCTGTTTGAAGACAACATAGCTGCTTGGATGTCACTGGGACAAATTCTCATCCAAGTATAGTGACCTATTTTGCCACAAGACATTAAGTATAGGTATCTAAGCAGTAAATTGCAGCACACTCCCAGCAGAAAACTGAGCAAGGTGATACCCAGGCTTGAACTGGGAAGAAAATTTCAGAGAGGCTGTCGCCATGTGTTTGAGACAGGCTATTGGAGGCTTGGGATGGTGGTGTGTCAATAGCTTAACTTGAGCACTGTGGCTTGATGGGCTGCAATGTGTAGGGAAATGGAAAGATGACAAAATGCATGTACGTGCTGTGGGATTGTGTGTTTGTTTGGATAAGAACAAGTCACCTTAGATAAGTGCCACCGCACCCTCCACTGCACACAATCACACATGCAAAACTGTTGGCTCAGGTGCCCTAAAAGAAAAGGACAGTTGAGAACATTATAATAGGCAAATAGCATAATTTCCCCTAGTATTTGGGCTAGTTGTTGTTTGCTTTCCTACATGGAGCACTCAGGGCTCAAATTTGTCAAAGCTTCCTCTGAAAGCACAATTCTCATGTATTTAGATGCTTGCTCATATGAGTCATGCTATAGGCCTTTCCTTTGCAGTGCTTTGATGAATCTTTTTCCATCACAATAATCAGTTAGCATTGTTACAGGTTTTCCTCTTTTCATGTACTGCACCCCAACCACTAAATACTCCTAGAATTTCCTCATCTTCCCTGTTTAAGCAACCAAATACAGTCAGATACGTAATGTAGCAGATCTCTTGCTCCCGTTCTTTGATGGCCTTGATTACTACCTGAGGTATTTCTCAGTAATCAAATTCTTTTTCTAGAGAAGACTGCTTCTCTGCCTCCTGGGTACTGCAATATTCTTCACACCACTGAGGTTTATAAGGTGGAAGGTTCTGTAGAAATGTCAAGTACTGGCTGGATTCATGAAAAACAGGCTGTTCCCTAAGCCATTTAAAATTAAGAATATGTTCCTGCAGGAACCAAGATGTCTTCAGCAAATGTTGTCAGTACGGAAGAAATACTGCTGGAAGATGATGAGCGAGACAGCATAGAATACAAGATCCTACTGGCCTATGCCCAACGGCGGCTGTCTGTCAGTAAATATGGGAAACTTCTGGAAAATGAGAATAACGTGCAGAAGACATCATCCTTAATCAGGAGACAAGGAAAGACTGACCATCTAAGAGATATAGACGGATCAAGCCTGATAGCTTTTTCTCAGGGTCCTGTAATACAACTACAAGGTAAAACTCAACAGAAAACCAAGTATTTGCCAGGACATCATCTACGTTTTCCCTGCAGCAGTGCAGAGCCCCCAGCGGTGTCACTGCAGGGAGGCCACACGGCACGTTTCTCCCATTTTGAGATTCAATCCAAGATCCTTCCACAAGGGGATTCCCAGCATCAGACAAGTATGTCTTAGCTTTTCCTTGTGCTGTTTGTCTTTAAATCTCTCTCTCAATAGTTTAAAAGGCTGATGGCCTGTGGAAATACACATTTTTGTCACCTCTTATGCTAACTCTATCGATTTCCAGCTAGGAAGGCAGATTGCCAGATCTTCAGTTGTGCTTGCAAACACAAGATTCATGCTCGTGAATGGCTTTTCTGTTTTCCATTGTATAGTGGTAACTATCATATAAATTGCACAGGCTGGGACTCCTCCCCACCCCGCCCCAAGCATCAGCTTTTTCTTTCCATACCTGCTAAGAAAGAAAAAACACTGCTCAGAGTGAAGGCCTCCACGCTAAAATCAAGGAAGAAAAGTTGTTTGAAAGGCTGTTTAAGGAGCTTTATCATGTAGTAAATGTTCCGTACTGGAGACAGAAGTTCTAGATTCTGCTTGAAACTCTGGTGCCAAGCAGTTGGCAATGACTAGCCTCAAGCACAGAGCAGCCCATGTCTCCGGGCCTCCTCTTATAACCTCACCATGTATCTTAAATGGAAAAAGTCTTCCAAAGTTGTCTAAGTCTCCTTTAGACTTTGCTGTTACATTCTCTGACCCTGTCCTGCCGTGTGTTGGAAGACATGGTAGGAGACTGTAATCCATCCGGTATCCAGGGATCCCATCCATGTAAACATCTTGTGCCCCAGCCCGCAAACCAGCCCCACATCAGGTACTGCACTACAGGCAATCGGATTTTACCTTTTCTGCTCTGGATAATAATTTATACCTTAACTTGTCATACAAGGCTGAGAGAGGAGGATGAGGTATCCCCATGAAGTTGCCATATACAGTATGTGATAGGTTGCCATATTGTTTTTATATACATAAGATTTAATTTGTCTCATCTTAGTACTATTGGTGTCACAGTGATTGCTCTCTCCTTTCAGTGCATTTAAATCTAGTTCTAAAAATCATCACTGACTTCTCTAGCCTCATGCCCCATCCCTGACCAGTTTAACTGTCCTGGGCCAGCTTCTGCCTACCAAACCTGTAACTCTCCCTGATACCAAATCCAGCCCTGTGTCTCAAGAAAAGGTCCCTTCCTCAGACCAGTGCCTTTTTCTAGGGTGAAATAACTATAGCCTTACGTTGTTTGGTTTGGACATATGTCTACATCCAGATATCTGGTTCTATGTCCCTTTTATTTCACATTGCCAAGGAAAGCACTTTTGAGTTTGGGTGCAATCACTTGATGGCTCTGCAGCACCTCACCGTGTTCCCTGAGCATGAGTGGTAGCACGGCCTTGAGGTAAAACCTCCCCATGCTGGGTGTTAACCTCCCTGGGGATCCTGCTTGGCTTCAAATCTGGACTTTACCAGCCCTTCAGCAGGGTTTTTTTTTAATTATTTAATAATTATTTAATAATTATTAATTTAATACTTATTTAATAATTATTTAATCAGCAGAATTATTATTTATCGCTTATATTGCTAGCAATTGCACTTGAAGCTTGGCCAGGCCACACTGGAGCAAATGGGGGTGTTTTGGGGACTAGCTGTCTAAACTGAAGGCCTGTTCAATTTAAAAGCAATTGCCTGATCTTAGGTTTCCAAAGTCATGAGCAGCCTGATCCCCTTCCTAGAAGTCCAGCAGTTCCCAGACAAGCTCTGCAGGCAGACACGGGGGTGGAAAAGTCTTGGGTTGATTCACCAGCCTTGAAATGTAGTTTTTATTGGCTGCATTAACCTGTGCTGTCCCCTCAATAAACCCTGCTCATTAATCCTACGTGTGTTATGGGTCAGGCCACCGCTGAACTTTGCCTCTATGGCTTTTCTGGTTGTGCAGGAGCTGCCATTTGGCAGTGGTGGTGGAGAGATTGAGCTCTGCATCCCTGTGAGGTGAATTGTGAGGAGGAGCACCTTTTAGGTGAAACAAACTTTGCAACAGCTCCTCCTGCTCTCTTTGCTGTAGCAGGATCCCTGCGGGAGTGCTCTCACAGGGTGATGCTTTCAGCTGGTGAGGGTCCTGAACAGGATCACTACACAGGGTGGATAAAGCCAGTCTGGTTGCTGACTTCTCCCAGTATTCATGTCTACTTAATACAACAAGGGCACAAAAAGCTTTTGTGCTAGAGGTGCCTCTGAAGTGAAGTCAGTTTCTCTTTTTCTCAGGGTTAGCCTGTGAGAACAAGGGAAGAGCTTTGAAATATGGGTCTTTTCTGAAACTGGACCTATAGATGAGCTAATCATGGCCAATACAACTGAAGCTTAAGATTCACAGTCCTGTGGAGCAGGACTCTCACATTTCTTAATACATAGTGTGCTTCTGGCTTGCAAGGAGGTATGCTAGTGAGCAACACACACTTGCTTCTGTATGGCCTCTGTATAGCTAGCTGCTGCTCAGATACTAGAGAGGGGTTGTACTGCACCTCTTGAAATTATTGCCAGCTTATCTCAAGCAAAAGCAAAGCCCCAGGAAATTTGTCTCTTGGTATCCTCTGGGTCCTTCCAACTCAGAAGGCACATAAACAAGTAAATCATTGAATTAGTTCTTGGAAACATGAATTGCATTCTCTGTTTTCCAACCTCTTTCCCAATCAGGTGAAACAGCAGATGTAAACCACATTGCAGACAAACTTGCTAAGCTTGTTACTTCCAGATCCCAGGAACCTCCTTCAGATGTGTCATCCAAGATAAGTGATCTTACTGATGGAAGTGAGAGCGAGGAACGTGGTAAGAGTGAAGAGTTTTGAGCTCACACATAGTACCTCAGGTTGGGACTGCACACTGGGGCATTTTTCTAGCCATGGTGAAGCGCTGGGGACTTCTGTGGCAAGATGCTGTGAAGAAGGAAGTTTGCTCTGTGGCCCACATTTCTGCTCTTGCCATTAAAGGGAGCATTCTTAAAAATGAGAAAAAGAGGAGGAAGGCAGTGATCTAAGATGACAGAGAAGTGATAGGATCGGCAGGGCTGGGGACAGAGTAATACCCCAGGGCTCTAAGGCCAAAGACCAGTCATTGGAGCAATAACATCTTGGTCAATCCCTCTTTGGTGACAGGACAGCCCTGATCTAAAATCTCTGTTAAAAGTCTGCACTGCTTGTCTTCCATGATGGCTGCAGAGATTTAATTTTAATGCAAGCTTCCTAGGGATTTCTGGTTACAAGAAGGATCCTGCCATACTTGCATTTTCTTTAACCTGGCAAACCCAGAGTTTGTCCTAATGAGTTGCAGAAGGTGTAATTGGAATAGCAAAGGGGTTTTTTTTCCCTTAATTTTAAGTCAATTTTCATGGGTTTCTGCTAGCTACTCTTTTGTTCTGCCTTATTATCAGACATACCTCAAAGCCCAAAGGGCTGCCAGTGGGGTATTAAAGCCCCTGCTCTTTCCCAGATTCTTAACTGGAACAAAACATCAGGCAGATGGAGAAATAACATTGCTTACTCCACACAGACTACAATAATGAGCTTTAGCTTAAAGCCTGGATACACAACTCTCTGGATTTGCCACAGAGTAGGAGCTGTTTTCATGATTAAGTGACACAAAGGCTTTTGCCATAGTTTGCTATCTGGATCCTGCTAGAAAGCTATGATATTTATGTTACTCTTTTCTTTAACAGATGAAGAACAGATAATACAAACAATAGTTTCACTGTTAAAACAATCAGGGGACCAACTAGAAGAAAAGGTAACTCCTCCTGTTTTCAGGAGCTACACAGGCTGGAGTGTGAGATTACTTCTCTTGGGAGTGAATGTTTTGTAACCTAGTGCTTTCTGTCTGTATGTTGAACTTCTCTTTCCACATTTGGGGCTTTCTGAAACCTTCACCATTCATCCTGAAATGTTTCTGAAGACTAGAGGATTAGTACTGATTTCTGCTGGGGTGTGGGGGGAAGGCAACAGAAATGTCATGCATTTCAAAAAGGAGTCACTTGCCTTATTCCTGTTGAGTTTCACGGGATGCTGAGCACTTCACTTGACTGACTCCAAGAAACTCTTCTGCTTGCATTATATTTGGCATACAAGTTGTTCCCTGTGGAGGGAGAGAAACTCTACAGCTTTGAAAGTTGCTGTATGGAAATAAATTTTAGGAGTGCATTTTGAAAGCCCTCCCAAGAGCTATAGAAGAGACCCCGCATGAGTCCATTAGTGGGAGTGGATGTTTTCTTTATTAAAAATGCGGGCACTTCCTTTTACTCCCTTCTTTAGCTGCCCCTTCTGCTCTGTAAAGGTATATGCCAACATAGAAGATGTGCTCAGCTCCTGCAGAAGAGGGACTCCCAGATACAGTAAGAAGCATCACAAAGACTATGATGGAGCAAAAGGAGCTCAGTATGGCAGCTGTTGCCAGCACTTCTCATAGCTTGCCTTTATTGTCACCTTTCCACTGCTCCTGTATTCCCATGTCTTGTCACCTACAGGTCTCAGCATTAGTGTCACAATTGTTTAGCTTTCTCTCTCTCTACTTCTCTCATTCGAATGCAAATAAACCCTGAAGATTTTTTTCAAGGAATAAATATAGAGCCACTTCCAGAGACTCAAGAAACAGCTTTGCAATGAGGTGCGCATTCACCACCACGATTAGACTCTACTGCATGTGGTACCTAGAGATGCTCTTCTTTCCCAGTGAGATAGAGAAAGCAATTCAAACAAAAGTGGTTCAATTTAACTCATGCTTATTCTAATTTTCAGGTCAAAAAGGACAGTGGCTTATATCAGCATTTTAAAAACATGTTGTCCTACACTTTCTTCGAGAGGATCACCAATTTGTTCCTGGAGGATATCTCAGCAGATTCAACAAGAGAGCCAGAAGGCCAAGTACAGTGCAAAAAAGTTGCCTATACAATGGAAGTTGCCGCAAGACTTACTGCTGTAGACAACCATCCTATGAACCTGGTCTTGGGCTTTGGTGCAAAGTACCTCAGAGAACACTTCAGGCCATGGATTCAGGACAAGGGTGGTTGGGTATGTGCTTTTCCTCCTTTGACACGTGCATAGCCTAGGGCACTTCGAAGCAGCACACTTTCACAAAACATGGGCCAGATGTAAACCAAACCAAACTGCATGTTTTTTAACACAGTGTGTATTCCAGCTGTGGAATTACTTGCTACAAGACATCTTATATGCTGCAAGTTTTCTATTTACATAGGTCCAAAAATCAATAGGAGACATTCATGATGGGTTGTTAAGTATAAAACACCATTCCTGGCACACAGTCCTTCAACCACAAATGACTGAAGGCTGGGAGAAACACCAGGAAACTTAATGCTCGCCCTTAATACTATACTGTCCCTACAAGTGTGCTGCTGGCAGGTTCCTGGGACAGCACAGCAGTTCAGCAGTTCATACAGCCTGCCCTCATGGTGTGGCAGACTTCCACTTCCCCTGTACACAAAAGCATCTGTTTATCTTCATATCCCTCTTTCAAAGTCAGTTGTGCAAGGCACTCTCTCTTCTGCCAGCAGTTGTGCTGAGCTGCTGTCCTCCATGGATTTTCACCTGGATTTGCTGGGGAGGCACTTGTATCAAGATCCTAGTCCTTCTGAGCTGCATGAAACTGATGGAAACATTCTCAGCAGCTCCATAGCCTGTGTCCACTGTAACAGGTGGCATGTGAAGTCAGGAAATCCTACCGGCAAACCTACTGGCTGACCTGAGCAGAATTGAAATAAGGATGAAGGTCCTAATTTCTTTTATAACTGCAAGTTTTCTTTGTATATTACAGGAGAAAGCTTTGACTTCACTGGATCAGGAAGAAGTAGAGTAATCATGACTGCATTCATTCTTCAGGGAGCAGGAGCCTTCAATTAAGGAACACGTAGGATCCTACCACAATCCAATGCCAGAATGATTAGTGGTTATGTATTTTTACATTTTTCATGCAAGGCTGGAATGTTGCATGGCTGATGGGTACAAGAGTTGCTATTGATGTGGAAGTGTTCTTCCTATGGATATGAATTCACCTTCAACTCCCCTGGAGTACTGAGACTCATAAGTAGTGATTTTAGATACCTTTCCAAGTAGAGATTCTTGCTACTCTCCTATGGGTGGATGTTAAAGTGTAAACTGGAGAAAAATATCAAAGTATGCAATCAAGAACCTCTGGACTGTGATCAAACATCAACCAAGTGGGACAAGTGCTGCCAGGTTTGAGTGGTTCATAGTGGTACCATATGTTATCAGTTCTACGGTGTTGATGCCATTTTATACTTCTGAAAGCAACTGAGTAAGGTTAATGAGGGCTTTTTATTCTAGTGCCCTCTGCAATCTCCCAAGAGACTTGATTACCTGCTACAGGTGCTTTTAATTTGAACTGTTCTGCTTTAAACCCCTTCAAAGTATAGCACAATAGATACTGGCTTTTACAGCATTATTTTGCACATTAATGTGCAAGACACAAACATTGGGAGAGCTTTGTAGTCCAAGAAATTTAAAGCTTATCCTACTGTGTCAGTTTTCCTCCTTGTTCAAAAGGAGCTTGGTGCTATGTGTAATCTCAGGGATTTCTCCATAAACTGACCTGGTCCTTCAGCCACTGAAAACAAGTGATCTGGTTGGAGTTCACGAATCTGTATGTGTGGCAGTGGAAGGGATAACAGCGCATCACTGAGAGGAGAGGCAGATGCCAGAGAAACTGTTCATGATTTTGAGCCTTGGTTTGTGGCCTACTGAGTTGACGACTTGGATTTCTGTCCCTGGCAAATTCCCAGTAGAAACAGAGGGAACTCTGGACATCTGCTGAAGTTGTAAAGCCTTGGTGTCGCTTCTGTGATTTTTCAGTATCAAGAGGTAATATTTCCTCAACTGTCTCTCAGTAAGATACCCTTCCATTATGGGTGCTCATTCTGCATGTACAAGTACATTAACTGTAAAGACTGCATGAAGAAGTTATTAACAAATCATGAATTTCAATGAAAGTGGTAAAAAGCATTTCAACCAGATGTGTAAAATATGCACTGCTATCAAAGATCAGGTATTTTTCTAATAAACCTTAAACTTTCAACTCCTGCATAGCAAACTCTGCCTCTGTTTGGACACGTATGTGTGAAACAAAAGACGGAGAAGGTGGAAGTGAGTTACCTTTGCTTCCCTTCTTCAAAGGAGTTGGGAAACACTTGATATATCTCTAGACTGTAGATCTAAGATTTTAAGAACATCCACTCTTTCTGATCATATTAGATGTCCCCAGAGGGGGATGATTTGTGGGGGAGAGGCAAGAACTTACTCAAAAGTTCAAAATGTTGTTGTCCTTCCGTCTTTTGCCTATGAAAAAGAGATTGTGAGGTGGTGAACCCTCCCACATGCTGGGGGCTGCTGCTTTATTACAAATTTGGGTTCAAAAGCAGGCCTGTTAGCTAAATCTTAGCTCTGAAGAACTGTATCTGGTTCCATTCCAATTACACTAAGACTGCATTCAGTCTGTTCACATACACCAGTGGCCACGAGTTGGGCACTAGCTTATGGAAGTCACTTCAGCAACTTTTACTGCTTGAATAGCAGACTGCTATTTAGAGAGGTGTAAGCTCTGTGCTGCGAGTGTGGTTTTCCAGCTGAAGGCTTAGCAGCCCCAAACCCCACACTCATCCCTAGTCTCCATTTTGGTACCTCAAGGGACAGTTTCATGCCAAGAGCAGAGCCAACAGTGAAACAGATCGTCTCAAATGGGAATGCAAAAATTGGCCATCTAAGTAAAGATATTCAGCTGGTTTTTATTTTTCCCTGGGTTGTTTAAGAAGCATTTTTTTTCAGTAGCAGTGAGGGCCAGCATAGGAAAGCAGCCAAGTGAGCTGTTTCTTATTTAGCCACTCTTACATTTGTCATCTGCATCAGTTAGATTTTAAGAGCAATCTACTCCTTTTATGGCAGGGATCTGGGGTAACCTCCTAGCTGGAACGATGGTTTTGGTTTATTCTAAGAGCAGTCAGCAAGGCTGAGCACCGAGCTGTTGCCACTGCTGCTGCCTGGCATGAATTAACAAAGCTCTACTGCTGGCTCAACCAGTCTTCATCTTGCTGTCTTTTTTAATCTGTGATGACTAAACCAGCAGCAGGCAAATGCATGAGTTCTGGGTGTGTATGGAGGAGGAAGGGATGTTGTGAGGGAGGGGGCCTGGCCACGCTTTCATTTCATGTTAATCGCTTGCAAGACATCTTTTCGTTTAACTCTAGGACCCTCTGGTGCCGATTTGGGGGTGATACTGTGAAAGACAGAGAGGTTTACTGTTAAAACAAGAAGTGTCACTTGGGATTTTTCTTATCGTGTATCTACACAGGTCAGCATCACACTATTTGTTATATCAGCAAGTTTAATTTAAAATGAGCTGCCTTCACTGCGTGCTAAGTTTTCAGCACCAGAGTTTACCCTGTGCAGGAGATTCTGGGGTTTATTTTTAAAGGATGCCAGAAGTGTCCTGCAGCTGCCTTCTGCACTATGTTAAAGGGAGCCAGCCCACTGGAGCTGCCTGTGTGAGCACCTGGGAGCTGCCATCCCAGCCTAACACCCCCCTCTGAGAGCCAGAGCTCCAAGCAGTGAGTGGGCCTTGCCCTGGCTGCTGTTTCCTGGAGCACCCAAGGCATCAGATCAGAAAATCCCACTATCCCATGCATACCAGCTGTACAAAGGACCTCTGCCCCAGCTCATTGCAGCAGTGCCCCTTGCTCCAGTGGAGGAGGGGAATCAGGAGGCAGAAACAGTAGAAAAAGTCTGGAGCCTTCACCCAAACCCAAACATTTTACTTGTCTGTTACTTACTTTTGCTTCAGCTTTCAGGAAATGCTGCCAAATCCAGTATTTCTCTAAAACAGAAAGCATATGGAGGTACCCTTGGGTCTTCTCACAGCATCACATGGTCTCCCTCTTTTTAAGCTGCTTCTCCTTTCTCTCCTCACAGGTGAGTAACTACTACTGCTGATAGACACATTTGAGTAGGCAGAAAAGCAGCAGATGGACACAAAGAGAACCACAGGGCAGCACCAAGGGGAACAGCTCAATAGACACCATTGTCTGAAAAGTGGATTTAATGCCTATGACTTGTGCGCTGTAAAGGCTCACAGTCTGGAACAAGCTCAAGGTTAAAAGTTCACAGCTGGGGTGTTGTAGTGTGAGTGGAGGGTGAGAACCAAGCAGAAGACATTAAAGCTGGTTCCCTTGCCTGTTATCTGCAGCTGTGATGCTCCTGCTAGGGATGGTGTAAACCCCAGCAGTGAGATAGGAACCATGGCTCTGTTGCATGATACCTACACCACAGCAGGTTGTGGGGTGGGGTTAGGTGATGTTCTGGGATCCAAGCTGCTGCGATCCACCCTGCTTAACCCATAGAGAGTCTTCCTCTCATGTCCCATGACTGGCTCCTCCACTTATCTGCTGCAGCCAAAGCAGAAAGACGCAGAGATGATGCATTTTCCTGCCTGGGGTGATAGAAATGATGGGTTACAAGAAGATTTCTCACTGGAGTCAGCATCTTTGGTGACTGATATGATCTCTGTGCTGACTTTCACAGTCATCTACCCCTCATCTTTCTACTCCAGGGTCACTTTTGTCAGATGCCAAACAGAGCTCTTACATCTTTACTAAGGGGATGCTCAGCTGTTTCCCAGCCAATGCTGTCATACTAAAAGGGAAACCTGCTGAGCTCCTTTCTGGATGCTGGAGGGAGATGGGACTTAAGTTTTTAGAGGTTAAGCACTCAAAGTGTAACTTTCTGTCTGCCACTGCAGTGGTTCTGCTTTAAATATTCATTACACGCAGTACTGCAATGGAAAATTTGGGTTATGCTTATGTTATCTTCCCTAGAGATCTGAATCTGGATTTTCTTGTGTGCTGTTCTAACCTCTGCCAACACAGATAACACTAGCACTTGGATAATGTCACCCGTATTATCCTCTCTGCTCCCCTTCCTCCCAGCCTGAAATGATATAGCCAGGGAAGAAGCATCTGCCAGATGGGTCCTGTTTGCTGACAGCTGCACCAAGAAACACATCACTGCTCAGACTGAGAAAAGCAGGCAAGTATGGAACTACTTCTGTTAAGCAGGGCCTGAAAGAAGTCTTTGGTGAAGCCAGCAAGGCCTAAATATTCAGTGTAGGTGCCTGTAGTGACATTAAAATCTTTTAGAGGGTGAAGGCTCTAGGACCAGCCAGGGGCAGGTGTATGAACCGAACCAGCATGCAGAAAAGCCACACACACACTGTATTTAAAGTAGCTGTGTGTGCCTGGCTTCAGCTGGCTTTGGGTTTTTTATTCATACATCAAACCTTTTGTCTTTGTGTCTTGGGAAAGGTGCCTTCCTCTGAGCACCTGGGTTACAAAGGTTTCCTGTAGGGTGGGGGATACAGGAATTGCTTCAGGCATTATCATCATGATAAGCATCAGAGGAAAGGTGAGGGTGACCTTGGGACTGACCTTCTCTGGCAAAGCTGTGGAGGGCTGCTAATAGCAGCCGAGTCCTGGGGTTTGCCTTGCCAACCTCAACATCACAAACCCTGAGTGAGCACCTCAGCCTCTCCGGAAAGACCCTGAAGGAGGAACACACACACATCACACACAGAGGTGGTGTGCTGGGGGTTTCAGACTGTTGTGAAGGCTGGGCAGCATATTTGCCTTCTGTATTTTATGGTTTCAGGTGAATGCAGAGCACTTGGCTACTTTCCCTGCAGCAGCAGAAGAGAGAAGGCTTTTAACAGAAAGCTGAGCTCTTGGATCCCACCCTCTCCAGGAGCTGGAGACAAAGCAAAACGCTGCTCTGTAGAAGTAGTGACAAAAGCACAAATGTGCTGTACAGACAGACAGTTGCCATGTGGTTTTCCCCAAGCCAGCGCTCACACAAGAAGGCCCAGTGCTTTCCCCAGGAGTGGGGAGCATTCACACACCCACCCCTACATAGCCTGTCCCACTCTTTTACCTATTGTGCAGAGTGCCCCTTCAGTCACTCACTGCCTCCTGGTTTGCATCCACCCTTACAAAGGCATCCACTTTGGGGTACTCAGGTGGGTGGGACATAATTTGTTCCACTTAATTCAGACTTAAACAGGGGAAGTTCATGTTAGACATAAGGAGGAAGTTCTTTCTGTGAAGGTGGTGAGGCACTGGAATGGGTTTGCCCAAGGGAGTTGTGAATACTCCATCCCTGGCAGTGCTCAAGGCCAGGTTGGACAGAGCCTTGGGCAATCTGGTCTAGTGTGAGGTGTCCCTGCCCACGGCAGGAGGGTTGGAACTGGGTGAGCTTTAAGGTCCTTTCCAACCCAAAACATTCTGTGACGCCATTTCACTGTGGCCAGTCTGGGGTAGCTACTGCTGTACCCTCCCAGCTCACAGAGAAGCCTTTGTAAGCTGCTGACCAAGCCTTGTGCAGGTTCAAGTGATGGGGATGTAAGCACCCACAGTGGAGTCCTAGCTTTAGCTGTGAGAGCACATAAGTTAAAAAACCTGAAACCTTTGGAGCACGTGGCTCCAAGCCTGAAATCCAGACTGAGTGTCTAATAGACCTATAACAGCTATTAGGCCCCGGGTCCATTTCCAGAAATCCTCCTGGATATGGATTTCTGTCCATGTGGAGGGCAGAGCTCACAAGCCCGAGGAGCCCATGCAGGAGGTGGTGTGGCTATGAAATGTATGGGCTGGGTGAATGTTTCCATGGGCCCAAATCTGCTCCTGTTTTCAGTGGCTGTGCCCAGTGGCACCACCCCAGGCACCTGCCCCTCTTCCCTCGCCCCATCCCTGCAGGTGAAGAGGCCTGCAGGACAGCAAACCCAGCCCTACAAAGCATGGAGGAACCTCCCGCCGATCCCAGAACTCGACCTTACAACAATAACAAACAAACAGGGGAGTCTGGCAAGCCAGGAGCTCACACGCGTCTGTGGAGCCTTAGCGTGAAGTGATGTGTAAAAGTATTAGCAAGGAATAGGGCAGAGTTCAGTGCTGAGGTCAGCCCTCTGCTTTTAATTACAGTGAGTAGGAGTCAGGAAAGACAATATCCCATTATTGAGTGGGTAGTGCCTGTCATGTTAGATGC